TGATGAAACTAATCTAAGAATAAGAAGTCTTTTTTACCACATTTCACATTGTGAGCTTTTAGTTTCTTGTAATTACTTGCTTAAAACTCTATCAAAGTGACCAGAAAAACAGAAATACTTGGCCAATATAAGACATTAGCACTGCAATAATTCAGTGGTACTTTAAAGGTTTTTTTCTGGTAATCAGCAGAAAGAACAAAATGTAATATGCAATAAAGATCCAGACTTAAATGAGGGATGTTGCAATTTCATTGTCAGCATTGTCTTAAAACACCAGACCACCAGGACACCCCATGTTTGTGGTATATTTTTGAGCCATTAATCTAGCAAAGCTACATTTATGTTAGCTACATTACAGGGAAAACTAAAAATAACAAAATCAACATTTTAACACACTATTAATAATAACAAAATGTTTTCTCTGGCATGTATCAGTCAAAAGGTGAATTTTCACCTGCATCGCCAATACTTGAGAGACGTCTTGTAATCAACAGTTACGTTTAAACAACGTCATGATATGACGTGTGACGTATGTCAACTTAACTGTTAAAGACAAACTAACAATACATGCATAGAACAAGGCTACAATTAGTCAAAATGAGCAGCAGCAGCATTCTCATGTACAAGGTGGGTCTTATTACACAGGGGTTAAAAATAAACAAGCAAGAACAAACCTACACAAAAGGTTAGCTTCAGTGACAAAGACAGCAATTAATGCCATAATGAACAGTACAATCATCAAATAAGGCATGTCCTCAAACAATGTTATACACAACCAAGTAAATAGCACACACACCCAACTGGGTTAGAAACACCCATGTCCCACCTTGTTCTTTATTCACAAACAGTACTAAACAATGCTGTGTTGACAAGTGTTGGCTGGAATATGCTTCCCAATATGGACCGGTGCAGCATTCTGTTATATCACTGCTTTCACTGCAGACTGACCAAATATATTGCTTAAACTATGGACGGGCCAACTGGGCACAGGCACAGGGGCTCTCTGGCCTTTACTTGCAACATGTCAATCAAATGAGCAAGTACTGACCAGGAAGAGACTCAAAATGACCACAAAAAGATGAAAAAACCACACAAAGACATACAAAATGACTACAAAGAGAAGAAAGACCACAGCAAAGTTCTACCCGCTCTCACTCCAAAATCATCAAATACCAGTGTTTGGGCAATGACTTCCGCGTCAGACACAGATGAAAAAAGCCGTCCTTACACATTGGCATAATATGCATCTGGGCACTGTCAGTATGTAATGGTGCCCGACGGCGTCAGGGGCAAATGCAGCCACACAACAATCAATCAATCAATCAATTTTATTTATAAAGCTCAATATCACAAATCACAATTTGCCTCACAGGGCTTTACAGCATACAACATCCCTCTGTCCTTATGACCCTCACAGCGGATAAGGAAAAACTCCCCCAAAAAAAAACCTTTAACGGGGAAAAAAAAACGGTAGAAACCTCAGGAAGAGCAACTGAGGAGGGATCCCTCTTCCAGGACGGACAGACGTGCAACAGATGTCGTACAGAACAGATCAGCATAATAAATTAACAGTAATCCGTATGACACAATGAGACAGAAAGAGAGACAGAGAGAGAGAGAGAGAGAG